GTACTGCACAGCACCCTCAAACTCCCAGGCCTCTGGTAGAGGACCCGAGATTGAGGAAGACACAGACCACCCATAGGGGTGAGAAGGGATTTTATAAGTATATATGTATGCATGCATGCATGTATGTATAAAAGCTGTGATACCAAATGAGTGTAGGGAATTTCTTGCTTCGTTGGTCTGTTAAAATGTTGCCACTCTCCAATTAATAAAGAGATTATTCCATATATACCTTTAGGTTAGTATATTCAAAAAATAATCTTGATCAAAGCTGGGCAGATTTAGCAAAACACTATAGTGATATGTCTTTCCACCATTACCTGAACCATACATGCATCATTTATTTGATTCTGCTACAGTAATATTTCTATGAATCTCTTTTGTTACTCCCTTAAAGAAAGCAAGTTATGCCTAAAAATAAGATTACTCTAATACCTTTATGTTGTGAATAAAACAACATTCATTATTTTCTACATTACAGCTGTAAAGTTGTGTACAATTAAATATTTTTGTGGTACAGTTCTTTTGAATAAAATATAATTATTTTAACAATTAATTAATATAAAGTAATTTGGATTCCATTGGTAATGATAGCATGGCATGCAAGCAGTTGCAAATGCTGGACACATCAAAAGAATAAGGAGTTTGATTCGATTTATTCACACCTGTACCTTTAAGCTCTCAGGGACAGGGCTTTAAAACAAATACAGTCTCCTTTGAAGCTTCAGTCTGTCAAACTATTAAATCAAATCAAAATGTCCAATTAAAAAGATAAGCCAGCTTAGAGTAGCAATTTATGTCCTTTTACCTTTCTCTCCCCAACAGGTAAGTCTGGAATATCAGCCTCAGCTGAGGAAGTGTAGGCAGCCCTTTTTTTGGACAGCTCCCTTTCTTCCCATCTGGCATTATTCTTTGATGGAACATCTCAGTTCTCTGCCAGGGAAGTGAGCTATGTCACAAACAGGCCTCTTTGAAGTCCAGCAGCACTTTCTTTTGACAGTCGGTTTGCTGTCTGCCTTATCTTTCCTTTTTCTCCCTCCTCAAAAGCTCTGTTCTCTCACAACTTTTAAGATCATCAAGCACTGAGTCTAAAAATACTCACACCCTGATGATGAGGCTTACTGTCAAAGAGGCTGGTTTTTTTCCCTTCAAAGAAACATTAGCAATTGTTTTCCATTGCAATTGCTTCATGGAGTTTGTTAGTGTTTGGATTTACCCACCATGCTCATTACAACTGTATGTTACCTGTGGAAATTATTCATGGATGTGGCTGAACTGTCCTCAGTGTTCAGATGATGTCCAGCATTATTTCTCCTTTCATCTTTCTTTAAACTGAAGGTTGAATAGGCTAATAATTTGAATGAGGGCCAATCAATTGAAGCTCAATCCAGAACAGATAGAGTTATTGTCCAGTGAGTAGTTCTTAACCTGTTCTTGAGGAGGTTTGGGAATGTTCTTGGATCCCTCACTGTCAGTAATTGCACATCCGGCCTTAGAGGATAGGATCATATTACATCAACTCAGGCAGATATACCAGTTGAAACCCTGTTTGTTCAGAGTTAACCATCAGACACTCTGGACTAAGACTCAGCTATAAATCTCCATCCCCAACTGCTAGGCTCAAACTTGGCAAAAATCTATCAGTTAATAAACAGACTGTTCTGAAGCTGTATTAAAGTTGTATGTGCTCTATTAGCACAAGGATGCCATTCCCTCCTGTACCCACAGTAGTTTGAACCTTGCTGTTTTTTCCTGTCTTTCCCACATTCTAAAGAATTGGAATGAGCTTGATAGCATAAAAACTGAGCAGTTGTTCGTTGCTGGCATAATTGACATCTCTGCCCTGGAACCCCTGGTTTTCTGAAATCTGATTTCAATTATCTAAACTGTAGTAACCAATTCAGTTGGATTTTTACAATGCATTGTGCGTAGGGCTGTCTCTGAATTGCTATTTTGTCTGGCTGATGTGTTAATGTAATTCTTTGTCAGTGCCTTTCCTATGGAAGCTTCCCAGATTGCATCCTGTTGTCTTTATAGTTGTAGGCAAATATGTTTCCCATCTCTACTGCATTTCATATTATGCAGTCTCTTAGCCCACTACTGCATCATCTCAAGACTAATGTTTCTTTCCTTTCTTTTGATGTACAGACTGTACATCAAAGACACTTCAATAAATTTTTGAAGGTTTAAAGTGCATACTATCTAAATACGCTTTTAGTAGCATTGTAACAAAATAAAAAGAAAATTAAATATAAAATATAAACTTGTTCAGTTATAGGATACCAATTGATAGTTTACTAATCAGTTAATTATTGGTGTAATATTCTTAAATTTTCTGTAATACAGAAAGAAACTAGATGTAGAATTAATTGACAGATGGGTCCCAAACAAGTGAGTCAATTTATTGGCTGAAAAATACTGCTCTGCAAGAAATCCATATATGAATGGGGACATTTAACATTATATAAGTAAAATAAAAGTGAATTAGAAGAATACTAACAGATCTCTCAGCTATAAATCTCCATCCCGAACTGCTAGGCTCAAACTTGGCAAAAATCTATCTACAGACTATTCTGAAGCTCTATGTATGTGCTCTATTAGTCTATTTTCCCCTGCATTCCAAAAAAAAAACCAAACATACCTCTCTACATGGGAATAGCATGCAGTAAAAGAATGTCAAGAGTGCGTGTTTAGGGTGTAGAAATCAAAATACAATTTTCTTGACATATTTTGTTATAGCAAGGTGCCTTTAAAGCCCTACATGGCATGGGAGTAGGATAGGGTAGGCACATTCTAGGTCCCTTCCCTGAAAAGCTGCCATCCAGTGGGACCTAGAAAGCATGCCTTTTCCATGACTGCCCCTATCTTGTGAAACACCCTCTCCCCAGTGATTTGGCAGGCCCCCACCCTTTTAGCCTTCTGGAAGGCCATCAAGACCCAGCTCTTTACCCAGGCTCTAGTGTACAGTGATGGGAGCCTGTGGGTGGTTGTTCGGACATCTTAGGAGGATGACTGAGGCACTGGGTTTTTAGTTTTTGTTTTATGATATTATGGTATTTATAGTTTTGTAGTTTTATTGTTGTGAGCCATCCAAAGTTGTGCTCTATGATAGGAAGCCATACAAATCTTTTAAATAAATAAAATATAGCTGTCGTGAATTCTTGTTTTGTAGCATAGTGTGTCTAAGAGTGATTAGGTGCTTATAGAAAATCACAAAACAATTGTCATGGTTTAAGATCTCCCCTCTTTGTCCACATAAGATTACCATATATTTGCTCATCTTAGCTTTTCATAGCAATTTATTCATGCCTGAGCTGTCATGTTGGCAGGTGAAAACTGCTTCTCTTAACTAATTACTCTTTATTTTGTTTTAGTTGTCCAAGTAACTAAAAAGAATGAATAGAGAGGCTCTTAACATTCTCAATGTCAGTAATCTTTTGTATGATAAACACTTGTGAGATACCTTACAGATATTTATAATATTCTACTAACCTTACTGAAGAGAAAGCTAGAACAATAAAAATTAGAAACAGAGAAGGTGTTATAAGTTAACTTTTATAATGTTGTCTCTGGAGATAGATAGATAGATAGATAGATAGACAGATAGACAGATAGATAGATAGATAGATAGATAGATAGATAGATAGATA